TGTTGTTATTCTGATGCATTCTTTTGTGCTTAGGCAACGTTCTTTTATTATTCTGGAATTCTGGCCCATTCCTCTCCCTTGTTGCATCCTTCACTGTCTCAAGAGGGTGCGTGTAAAAACAGTTTTATTCTCAAGGAAATTTCATCTATTACTCGCTGTTGGTAGTCCTAAAATTTAATATTCTTCAATAGAATGTATATTTTGCTTGCGCAAAAGGAAAGATTGAACACATGCTCGTCACCAGTTCAGCATCCGGCAGAATTTGTTCCATCTCACTTTTGCGGGTCATATTCCGGATTCAAAAAACATCGTTATCGTTGTGAGGAAGGTAAATGGGTGAAAAAGGTTGCTACGAAGGGTAATGCGAACGGTAACATGAAAAGGTATGGTGCAAAACCAAGGAGTTCGAAGGGAAATACGGAAGAGGAAAAGAAGGAGAAAAAAGGCCAAGCTGATCTCCAAAGAACTGCTGAACGTTTACAGAGTATGCGAGAGAGGTTGGGTCTTAAACCCTCAAAATATAGCGAAAATTTAGCTGGTGAAAATCCTAGTGAGACGAATTGTTTGGCAGGCTCACTTGAGGCTTCATCATCAATCGTGAAGTCGATGGACGAAGAAGTTGGTGAAGAATTAATGACCACTTCTACTGCAGAGGAATCACAGATTATCACGACTGCAATTGCTGATGCTATGGCGGAGGCAAGTGGTAATGAGTTACGTAAAGACGACTTTAACTTGAATCGGAGAGGCCCTAATGCTGCAAATGTTTCCCTTTCCTTCCCCTCTGATTCTTTTAAAGCCAGTTTTGCTGATTCAACTAAGGAAACTGCTGATACAATTTCGGCAGGTTCGCAAAAGGAGTTTAGTGCTGAGGGCTCAAAAAACTACACACCTGTTTGTCCAACGTCACCATTTTACAGTGATGAAGTGTATCATGCTTCTAAGTACATGTTGCTTGATGATTCTGTCTGGGAAGATAGCTGCACAAATGAAATAAAGGAAGGGTTGGATAGCCTAGACAGCATATCAGAACTCAGGATCGGGAAAGGCCGGCAGATGGCGCTTGCTGAATTAGAATGCTTCAAACCTTTTTATAACAATAATTTACTGAAAAAATGTCGTCTGTCTTTGCAGAGGCCTAAGAAGAAACCTTTACATGAATATTATATTGATGACGATGCAGAGCTGGAAGGTACGTGTCTTTACATTCCTTAGAAATGCGGTCGATAAGTTAAAGAATTTTTTCTTTCAATGGAATTAGAGTTAGAGGAAGCGAATAAACATTACAGTCATTGCTACTATTCTTTGTCTACATTTTCGCTTTCTTCTCAAAAAACTTTTATTCCTTTGTCATATTTTTTGAAAAAAAATCTTTTACAGTCAGTATAATGTTGAGCTTGGTTTCAGCCTTGGCAAAGGTTGTGGATCCCTTAGCGCCACGGCCTGAAGGTGCTGTAATCAAACCTGCACGAGGGGATCATGCCACCATCTCCCATTCATTGCCTCGTTCATTAGATTCCGCGTTACACAGGTTTGGTACCTCTCAGGCGAAAACAGTGGCTGCAATGGTTCTTGACCATACTGGAAAACCCGCTTATTCATTAACTTTTGGTTTGTTTTCAAATTAGTGGTACTTTGAGAGCTTATTGGTCTTTTGGCACCAATGTTTTATTAATTTTATAATTGGTTGCAATAATTTTTCTCAGTATGACTTTAGGTAAATTGCTGAGTCGAGCAACGAAAGTTGCATATATGCTTCTGACAAAGCTTGTCAGTGGAAATGTTGGGAAAGAAAAAGTACATCTTTGCAAATGTGGTGATCGAGTTGCTTTAGTATGTCACTCTTTTTGATATTGACTAGCAATCTCATTATATTTTTTTCTTTTCTCTGGATGTTTTAGTTCTATTTGCTTTTTAGGTTTATCCTAATACTGAACCGTTGTCGTTTCTAGTGGCATTTTACGGTTGCTTATTAGCAGGTGTCGTGCCAGTTCCCGTAGAGGTCCCCCTTAGCAAACGGGTACTAGTACCTTTTAGAAACATTTTGGTTTTGAATTATTTTTCTTCATTGTCATTTTTGCACATTTTAGGATGCAGGAATTCAACAGCTAGGTTTCCTCTTAGGAGGATGTGGCGTTAAAGTAGCCTTAACTTCTGAGACATGTTATAAAGGACTTCCTAAAAGGACGGCATCTGGCCATCCTGTGGCAAATGGAGCTTCAAGCGGGAATGGAGATATAGTTGATTTTAAAGGCTGGCCAAGGCTTGTGTGGCTTATTACGGAACACTTGGTAGGCTTAGAAAACAAAGTAAACCTTATTTTTGTTTAGATTATAACTTTTTTATTTTTTGTTGCAGAGTAAACCGAGCAGGGACTGGACTCTACCTCCTCGTTTAGCAGACGGGTCTCTCGCGTATATCGAATATACTACTGACAAGGAAGGAAGTGTTAAGGGTGTTTGCTATAAGCGACAGTCAGTACTGGCTCACTGCAGGTAAAGCGGATAATTACTTTAGGAAGTTTAATTCAGTAGAAAATCGTAGATGGAGAGCCCGGGATGTTTAATATTTTGAAATTAAGTACTCTTTGTAAAGAGGTTTCACTACCATTTTGGAATGCTGGGTTCTTTTTTTTGCTTGTGCACTGGCTACATTCTTTTCACTTTAGAACTGCTTTTCTCTCAAGCTTTTATTCTGGGCACTAGAAATAATAACACTGCTTAGTAAAACTGGTAGCTCTACTAACTAACCGTGATAGTTTCATTTAAATGTTAAACACTCTATTTCACTTTGTTTTTGAGCCTTGTTTTCAAATTTCGTAAAATATGTTTCAGAATTCCTGCTTATTCGTTATTGGGACGTTTATGAGGATAACAGAAAATTTATACTTTATTTATGACTTTTATTCATTGAAAAGTAACCGGTCTTTCAAGTTTCTTGTCATGGAAATTTAAGTCTTAAAGCAAAAAAAAATTTTTTTTTTTTTGATTATGGCACGTTCTGCGGCTACTAAGGCTTTTTTAATTTTTATTCAGTAATAGTTTGTGGATGCAAAATCTGATATTTTTTGAACAGTAGTAGCAGTGGTTGTGATTGTTAAAGTTTTTAAATTGAAGTTCTTGCTGTGTAGGTTGGGGCATAACAGTGAAGTAATGAAGTTCTTTAGACAGCAAACTCGAAACAACTCAAGTTTGTTTTTAAGTTTTTTACTTTTTTGAAGTATTAAAGCAGCTTTTTGCTTATGTCGCCTTCGTTAGCTTTTTGGGCGAGAAGTTTGGTTGCAGCTATTAGGAGTTATAACACCAAATAATATAATTCTGTTTGCGGACGGAAAGCTCTCAACGTTGCAGCGCTTATTCGTTATTTGTTCGCTTGTATCTTTCCGTGATTATAGTCAATTGTTAGCTTCTTCCTGAAGGTGACACGGTATGCCAGAAGTGTCTCATTTTGCACTGAAAGGGACCTTTTTTTGCTGGAACACTTTCCTCTGTTATTTTCCGAAGTCTATTTGTTCAGCTCTTCATGCCTTCTTTGTGTAGCCATATTTTTAAAATTATTTTTTTGAAGGCACCAGCACACTTATTTGTTACCATGTTGTTTATTTTGAAGTCAGGATTCTTGAGAATCAGTCTTTTATTTTAGTATGTGTTGGCATTACTCAGTAGCTGTAAGCAGGTTTCTAAGGAGTCTCTCAGTTTGACAGGGTTTTAGGTATTGGTAATGCGCTAGACAGCTAGCTATACGCTGTCTGGAAATGCTTTTGGAGTTGTTTTTGGTCTGCATATTGCTGCTGTATACTCGAAAGAAAAACATTTGCGATTTACATGAAGTAAATAAGAAGAATGATAAGAATTTTAGATTAAGACTCGAACAAGCGAGAGTAGCAAAACAATGTTTTTTTACCGCAGTTAAAGCAACATTTTTTTGAGGTGCCTGTATGGAAAAAGAATAACTCCAATTGTGGAGAGTCCTATCTATTTCATTCAAAAGTAATTTTTTTTCACCTATATGCGAATATCCTTCTAGGTAATGCTATAACATTTTTCCATTTCTTCATCGTGTTCTGATTTTGAAGCCAGCTGCATCTTCCAAGCTTGGATTTACCTAACATTTTTAATCACCAGTTTTTATGTGTCGCATTTGTAATCAGAAGTTTTTGCCGGCAGTGGAAATATATCTCATGCGAACTCCTCAGCATCTGCGTGCCAAATTTCTTTTTTGTTTCTTTCAAAATTTTAAAAGGTTGGAAACAGAGTGGATGAGCTTAAACTTTTTTATCTGAACCGCGTTTACTAGAACTTTCTTCATAAGACTGTAAATGACGAATGCGAATATATACTATTATGTCCAAATGACACTATGTTATCTGTTATGTTACAGAAGACAGAAGGCAAGGTTATATAGAGATTGACAATGTATTTCCGTTTCGAAAAATCTGTTTCTTTGAAAATTTTTTATTCAAATTCATTCCAATTTTGCCCTGAGGTTGGGCATTTTCGTCCTGGTTTTAGGTAAAGGAATCTATTCCGAGGAATAGTTTGAAAAGTTTATTGAACTGTCCTGTGTTTTTTAAAGTGCTTCTTTGTTATCTTTTAAGGTCCATAATAACTGCGATGGGGTATAAAGAAGGTGAAACGATGGTCTCCGTACTTGATTTCAAACGTGAAGCTGGTCTTTGGCACTCCGTCTTAGCCGTACGTGTTTTTCCTTGTCTTACTGTAGTTACCGGACAGATTTCACGTGTAAAATGAGTTCTGTTTAATAGTCTACTTTGGTTTTACATGTTTCATTTCCTTCAGTAAATGGTTTTAGTTGATTGTTTTTTGCTAAAGACTTGGAATTTCTTCTGCATCCTAGTTTTTGAACTATTTAGAGCATTTTTGTTGGTTTGCGCGTCATATTTGTTCCCTATTCGTTAATGAAAATTAATCCTACATCATGGATGCTCATGGTTACGAGGTATCAAGGTAGGTATTTCCAGCTATTTTCTTGGTTTGGTGTGAACTTCTTAGTTATTCTAAAATTTGTTTAAGCAACCAGCGCACTTGTTAAATCGCGAGACTTACATTGGGGTTTGCTCGCTACTAGAGATCACAAGGATATTGATTTAACGTCTTTACGATCTGTCCTCGTTGTTGACGGTGCAAATCCATGGTCTTTATCATCCTGTGATCAATTTGCCGCTGCTTTTCAGCCCAGAGGGCTAAGGCCAGACGCCCTCTGTCCCTGCGCATTTTCTTCTGAAACTGGTTCTATTTCGTTGCGGAGGTAAGCCTTTCAGTACCTTTTTGAAAATTTTGCATCCTTCTTTACATATGTGTGTTTATCTTCTTATTTCTAAAAATTATTTTGTTTACACTAGCGTATTATTCAAAAAATTTCAAGTATTAAGCGACTTGGCGTCTTACTAATCTGCCGTGGCGACGCCATCATCACACTCTTTTTAGACCGAGTTCCAACGATGGTGTTAACAGTTCTGCTAGAGGTGTTTTGTCGATGTCGGCGCTTAGTCATTCTGTCGTTCGCGTCGACCAAGAAAATTCACTTACTTCTTTAACACTTCAAGTAATTTAAACTGAAGGATTCTTTTTTGATGGTCTTGGAATTCACAATATTGTTACAGTATTATGGTAAAAGCATTATGGAGTTTTTTTTTTT